TCTTGGCAAGGCTGAGAACTGTTCAACGTAATGCCCTTAGTGGCATGGTTTAGTGGTAGTCTTGGCAGTACTGAGGTAAAGGTTGGACTTGATCTTAAGGGTCATTTCCAACCTAGTTGATTCTGTGATTCTATGATTCTGTAATGCTGTTTGCTACAGTATCTGGTGTTCCTGAAGGATCTTTCTTAAAATAGCAACTTTATTTAGTATTTTAAGGAATGACTAGGCAAAAATAGTGGTGAAGGGTAATGAAGTAAAATAACACCAAAAATTGGCATTCTCAGTAAATGCAGAGGAAAATTAGAATAGCTGATGACCTTAATGTTCAGAGTAGGGGAAACAGATTGAAATTTAATGGTACAAGCTACGAGGTCATGCTGTCAGTTCCTAAAAAGAAAAAAGATGCAGTTACTGAGATCAGAATTCGGAAGTAACAGAGGAAGAGAAAGGTGGGGCACTAACAGTACCAGGGTGAATATGATATCATTGTCATGTCCTCATCAGACAAAAGCAAATATGACCGCATGTTGTAGGAAGCAAATTGTTCCTAGTAAAGGCAAAGAATCACTCATGTCCTTTTTGAAGCCTGTAAGATTCTATACTTCAGGAGAGGAAGCTTCCAGTGGGAACAGGGAGTACCAAAAACCTGCTGGGTGGAGCATGGCACATTTATATAGAGCTCACACAGATGCTGCCATATTCCCACTCCTTCAGATCACTTCTGTACCAGTCTCACTGATGGCAAAATTGGTTTAGGAGTTTCTTTATCCATGATATTGAGCTGCTGGAGTGGCTCCAGAGAAGGGCAACAGAGCTGGTGAAGGGCCTGGAGCACAAGTGTGATGAGGAATGGCTGAGGGACCTGGTGGGGGGACAGGCTGGAGAAGAGAAGGCTCAGGGGGGACCTTATCACTCTCTACAACAACCTGATGGAGACAGGAGGTGGCTGGTCTCTTCTCCCAAGGGACAAGTGACAGGACAAGAGGAAATGACCTCAAGCTGTGCCAGGGGAGGTTTAGACTGGAGATTAGGAACAATTTCTTCCCCAAAAGGGTGTTCAGGCATTGGAACAGGCTGCCCAGGGCAGTGGTGGAGTCACCGTCCCTGGAAGTGTTCACAAACCGTGTAGACATGGCCCTTAGTGACATGGTTTACTGGTGGCCTTGGCAGTGCTGGAGAACAGTTGGATTTGATGATCTTAAAGGTCTTTTCCAACCCAGCTGATTCTGTGTTTCAGTGATTCTATGATTCTGGTTACTTTGCCTTGCCTTTTGCAAGAGGGGCAACTGGCCCTTTGGTGCTCAAATGGAACAGCAGTCAGGCAAACCCTGCCTGATGCCAAAAAATGGATTTAGTCTCACAGCACGTGTCATCTTGTTAGCATTTAATGGGATGGCAGTGACGGGACGATGCAATTTGGTAAATACTGAACACAGCAGATGAAATGGTTTCTTTTTCTTTCCAGTAATTCAGTTTGGGTTTGTAACTTTGTTCGTTGCATCCTTCCCACTGGCACCTTTGTTTGCTTTGTTGAACAACATCATTGAAATCCGTCTAGATGCAAAGAAGTTTGTTACTGAACTGAGGAGACCAGTAGCAGTCAGAGCAAAAGATATAGGTAAGTGCACATTTCTATTGTTATCCCTGTTTGTTTCTTCCTGGGTGTATGGCAGGATATTGTTATGCTGAGTTAGTTTCACTAACAGAAAGATATTTATAGGAAAATTCAAAAGATTAGACTATGCCTTAATTGTGAGTTCTCATAACTTATCAAGGATTTACTTTTAAAATAGAAACACCAGAGCTTGAATATTTTATTAAGCAAACAGTATCACTTTTCAAATCAAACTGATCAATACAATAGCGAAATATCTCACATGGTTCTGCACATCAACAGTCCTTCCTGGCAATGCAGTTTTCTTGCAGAAGCAAAAATTCCTGCATTTAATAGCTCTGGAGTGGGCCTGGAGACGTACCCTTGGGAATGAGAGAAGACTCAGAAGTCTGTGGGTAAATGTACCCCTTCAACCGTACTCAGCATTAATGTCTGAAGGGTGAAGCTGAAAGCTGCAGTGAATTTAGGTTGGTCTGGGCTCTGTGGCAGTACTGTGACAATAGACCAGTCCTCCCCCTACTATGGGGGGATAACAGCTATGTGTGTAATGAGAAGGAAACTGTTTCTCCCAAGTGTTGGTTACTTACGATTAAAAAGGTCATTAAAGTAACTGTTCATGTTACAGAACCACTCAGCCAGAGCAGTGGAGTTTGTGGTCTGTTACCAAACTCAGTGTTCATTCTGGTGTTGTGCAAGCAGAGATTTTCCTTGGGCTCATCCTTGTGCCCTCAGATCATCCTTCAGCTGAAGAATACACTGTGTATTAGCATGCTGTTGCCTTTACCACGTTGCTTTTGGGGTGTGCTGTGGCTGGCTCAGCTGATGCTGCATGTGAAGGTTGCTGGTGGAGATGTTAGGCAGGGTGTTGTTGGTTTTATGGTTGTGGTAAGGGTTTTGAGGTTTTTCATTTGGTTTTGAGAGGATGTTAATTACAATTTATTGCAATTCAATCCTGCTACTGCAGTTGAAAGAACCTCACTTCTTCCAGAGACAATCTGAAGTCAGAGGCTGTGAGATGGCCACAGACAAACCAGACGAGATTTTAGGGCAGGCATCAGCAGAATCAGGAAAGGGAGAAAGTCCCACCTGCTCAAGGCAGCGGGTAGCCACTGGCAGCAAACACAGATCTATCTCTGCTTCTACTGATACTGTAATATCTTTTCCTGAAGTTCAGTTCTGTACTTCTGACCTCCAGTTTTGTCCAGGCTAGCTTATTTCTGCTGTGCCAACAGACCAAAATTATATGAAGTATCAGTTACTTATCAAGCAAAGGATTTGGCCAGGCTGAAGGAGTCTTCCAGGGATGTCACTCTACGTAAAGCCTCCTACATCTTCCGTTTCAGACCCAGAATAGGAGAGTGGCTCATCAGGGCTGTAAACATGTGGATCTTGTAGCAGCCCTGGATTTCTTCATAAAGAAGCCTTTCAATGAGAAATGGGATCTGGAGAGGAGGAAGAGTCAGAGCTGGGGGGCTTCATGCGTCATCCTCAGACTAAATCTGGAGGGGTTGAATCTGGTTCAGCATGGGGTTGGTTGGTAATACATTTTGTATGCACAGAGCCCGTGCTGAGGAAACCTGTATCTGTGTGGTTTCTGGATGCAACTGGAAAAATCCCATCAAGTGGCTCCGCTGGAGCTTTGCTTTCTCAAAACTGAGCTAGGATCAAGAGTGATGAGAAGATGTAGGCAGATTCAGGTAGATCCTTAAAGCTGGTAAATCAGTATGTTCTGCACCATGTGTGTGGAAGTTCCAGCTCCTTATCTGTAGCTTTCTTATCCTCAGGCATTTGAGAAGTGTGAATGAAATTTTCTAATGTTTTTCTTTTCTACCTATGCAGGCATTCCTCTGTCTCGTACTTGCCTTTCTCTTCCTCAAAGAAGTTTTCAGGTTAAAACCTCCAAAATAATAGGTGCCTGAACATAGCTTTGAAGGACAGAGTTGGGCTCCCTTTAGCTACAGGTCACCAAATTAATCTCTTGTAATTTGTTCTTCTTTTAATTTAAAATATAACACTAGTTTGGCACAGTCATAAGTACTCCTAACACTGATAAATGAAAATGTAATTTATCTCATTTTAATGACTGGAACAGTATTTACGTGTTTGTCTCCTTCCTCAGGAATCTGGTATAATATCCTCAGAGGTATTGGAAAGCTTGCCGTCATCATAAATGTAAGTAATTTGGCATGAGTAACATTTTAACTCAATAGACCTGCTTTTCCATTCTGCTCTAGTAGTTTTATTTCAGTGTAAATCCTTTAAAATCAAGAAAGTAGAAGATTTAAATATTTTCTGAAATGTTAGAACATCCCAGCCCTTAGAAAATGTTAGCTCACTTTAATATATTAATGTATGTACTTATCTAATATTCTATATGAATAGACATCCACTGATCATCATTGTTTGTTTCATCAGATGAAACAAAAAAAGCTGAATAACAAGCTGAAAATATGTTTGAGATGCAGAAAAACAGGGGCCATGTAGGGCTTACAGCCACGTGTCCATGTGCCCTCATGGCTTTTCCACCATTATCCAGACTAGAAATCCCTTCATTTTGTCCACAGGTGTCTGTTGTACTATAGCCAAACCATTCTTTTGGTTATTTGGTAGACTGCCTTAATTTGTCTTTACCATTTCCTCTCTTTTCCTTTGGAAATAATGTCTCTATTTTTTTCTTTTCCTCCCTGTAGTCTTTCTTTGTCATTATCCAGTGTTATTTTTTGCCTCTTTGATCTATGTACTACCCCCTTTATCATAAAAGAAGTAAAACATTTTGTACTGTGTTTGTTCCGCATGTACATGAGATTAATGCCAGTGAGAATGTTTCATAAGAATGACAAATTAGAAGGGCTAAAGTTCTGAAGAGCTCAGCTGAACTGGCTCTCTTGCATTTTCTGTAGGATGTTTTTAGAAAGCCTTTTTAAATCACCAAATAAAATGCAATTTTGGGGCCATAAATACAAAACTGGGCTCAGCCTGCTAATCCTTTTCTCTTCATGGAGTTGAAATATATATCTGATTTTGCAATGCAGTGAGAATTTGAAGATTCACTTCACTGCCAGTTGTTTGTGGAACAGAAAAGTACTTGGAAATCAATCAGTTGGACCTTACACAATGCATTGGGGACAAGCTGTGGCTTATGTAGTGCCATATTTTGCTCTCCCCTGGTGCTTGGGGGTATGGCCACTTCATTCTCCAGTGAGTCCAAGTTGTTATCCAGGTAGAAATCTCAGTCAGCATGGAGCTATTCCACCTAATATTCTGCAACTCAGAAGAGTAAGCAGTAAATCCTACCTTTTTGCCACAGTGAATACTCAATTTTTAATGCCCTGTGGGCTGCAGTCTCCGCCTTTGTTTGCTAAAGCAGTCCCTGAGTTGCATGAGTTTGTTTGGACAAGACATACTTGAGGATATTATGAACTTAACCACTGCCTGAATGTTACGCTCACTCTTTATTCTTATGGCTTAGGCATTTGTGATCTCATTCACATCCGACTTCATTCCACGCCTCGTGTACCTGTATATGTACAGTGAGAATGGCACCATGCATGGCTTCGTGAACCATACACTATCTTCTTTTAATGTCAGCGATTTTCAAGCAGGAACAGCTCCCAACGACCCCATGGATCTTGGCTATGAGGTTCAGATATGCAGGTACTCTCTTCAATGATAACCAATTTTAAGTATTTTCACAGCTTACTAAGAATGGGACAAATTTTTACATTTCTGGGGCAGGTCCCTTGTATTTTCAAGACCTTTTTAGCACCTTGGTAGCCTTTTCTATCAGATGGATCCATTGCCTTGACCGTCTTGGCTCACATATTAAGCAACCACAAAACCTGCTTATTTTGGGAGACAGGGCTTATCATTGTTCCATTCAGTCTTTGTCCATGCAAAGATTTTTATTATTATGCATTCCTTTTTTTCAGGAAAGGAGATAAATGATGATAAAGAGCACAATGATGCTTTAAGGGAAGAAACTGATGTTACTCTGATATCGCGTTGTTGTATCTTGTGCTGTTCATACGATGTTTCTGTAGCAATTCCTGATGAGAGTAATAGTATCCTTAGCACTGAAACTTAAGACCTACTTAAATTGTTGTTCTACAGGAAATCTGCATGCTTCTAACAATATCTACATATTATTTTCATTTTTAAAGGAATTTATTATTGCATAGTTCAGCTTAGGAAGCAATCTAGGTCAGTGCTGAAATACACATTTAATCTAGGCTCCCTTAGATCTATATCACCTTCAGAACAAATGTTTTAACATTTAGAATTGGGGACCAAAGCCAAATAATAGTACCACAGACTGGTTTGAGTTGGAAGGAACCTTAAAGCTCATCCAGTTCCAACCCCTGCCACAGGCAGGGACGCCTTCCACTAGAGCAGGTTGCTCCAAGCCCCTGTGTCCAACCTGGCCTTGAACACTGCCAGGGATGGGGCAGCCACAGCTTCTCTGGGCAACCTGTGCCAGTGCCTCAGCACCCTCACAGGGAGGAGTTTCTGCCAAAGATCTCATCTCAATCTCCCCTCTGGCAGGTTAAAACCCTTCCCTTGTAATACAACAGCAAAAGCATTTATGCCAGCAAAACTAAAAGGAGGATAAATGGGGTGCAGGAAAAGAGAACAAGGAGGGAAGAGACATTTCAAGGAGGAAAAAAGAAAAAGCTGACTAGCTTTGCTTGCTTTTGCTTTCTCCTGGTGATCTCCAGGCACAGGATTAATGAGGTTGGCAAACATATTTTTAGCACAGAACTTGTGGAACAGAAGTATCAGTGTCGTGGTCCAATATAAAAATGCCAGTTTTATTTGCTTTCTACTTCCAGCCTCTTTCTTTTTCCCATCCCATCCTTTCTTTCATATCCCAAGGGTTTTTAAACCATTTGAAAACATGGAGCCCTAATTCATTCAACATAGGAAGGATTTAAAGTTAGTGTATTTTTCTTGGTCCCATTTCTAACAAGTAATTGTTGATGAACTCATGGGTTTTCTGTGAGCAACAAATAAGGCAAAATTCTCATCTTCTCTCTACATGGCAAACTTGAGCTGATCATGAGCAAGAACACCACACAGTATAACACACCCCATGGACCTGAGATCAGTGTTTGTTTTTAAAATTAGTCTTAAAAATATAGGTTGAGTTGGGTTTTACCAGTCTTAAAATAAATTATCTGTGCAATTTACTCCATCTTTATGCAGAATTGGTATTATTTGTACTAATCAGAGGGTATTAAGATGGAAGACCTTTAATCTGGAGTACAGCTTGAGGGCTGTGGGAGGCTTTCAGCTGTTAAGAGGTTAATAATGTCTCATACTGTAACAGTAAACTTCTTTTTAGAAGGTTTGATTTCCTGTTCAACCCTTTGGTATTAATTGCTCATGGTGCTAAAATTTCTGAATGACATCACTGATTTACTGAGTCTTGTTTTGCAGATACAAAGATTATCGAGAACCCCCCTGGTCTGAAAACAAGTATGACATTTCAAAGGATTTCTGGGCTGTCCTAGCAGCAAGATTAGCATTTGTGATAGTTTTCCAGGTAGGTTGTACTGCTGGCACTTTCTATCTGAGAAAGAAAACGAGTTACGCTGTTTCTTTAGCTACGTAAGGCAAGCCACCTTTGGAAATAAGTTATTAGGCCAAAAATATCATGACCTTTCTCAGCTGCCCATCCTCATTCACCCTCTTCACCCACCCAGATCCAGGTATATCCTCAGTGGAAAAATTCATCCCTGGGGATTCCCAGAACCAGTTTGATGCAGAAGCAACAGAATGACCTTAGTGAGCAGCAAAGCGCAATGCTAAGACTAATTAGGTCCCACGAATTTCTCCAGGGGAACAACAACAAATTCACTGAAGCAGCATCGATTTAATCCCAGATCATTTCTAAACCTATCCAAGAAATGAAATGTCCAAAATTTCCCAAGTTAGAATTTTTAAATCGGGAACATTTCGTTGGAATGCATTTTACCAGCTTGCATCGTTTTACCTCTTGCTGTTTGCTTCTGCCCTTCTGATGTGAAACCTGTAGGCCAGTACGTAAGACAAGAGATCTGTGCCTGCCATTTTTCTCTACTTCTAGCAAGGACTTGAGGTGAATTTGGCTTAGTATCAGGCTTGTGACATGCAGTTGAGCCCAACTTAAGTACTGTCCTTTCTTCATTCTTCCTTCCTAAGTACACTGAGAATGGCCCCTTCCCGTACAGTCATCCTTTCATTTAATCTTGCTGACATGTTCTCACAATTTCATTTTCAGAACTTGGTCATGTTTATGAGTGAATTTGTTGACTGGATTATCCCAGACATTCCCAAGGACATTAGTCAGCAGATTCATAAAGAGAAAGTTCTCATGGTGGAGGTCTTCATGAGAGAAGAGCAAGGGAAGCTGCAGATGCTAGAAACCTGGAAAGAAAAGGACAAGAAAAAAGGTGGAAATTGTAACAATCACAGCCCCAAACTCCCCAGGAGTCACAGTGGGAGCTTGTCCTCCTGCCATTCATACCCTCTTGATGTCTAGGAGAGGAGGGAGTTGAGTATGTTGGGGCATTCCACTGATACACAAACCACGTGTAAGGGGCAGGACTCGATTAACAGACAACCTGGTGCATGTTGAAGGATGTGCTGCCATTTTACTCCCATCTTTGTGAGAAATGCTCTTCTTACAAACATGGAGGACCACAACCTATTTCTTATAATCTGTTCTTTCTTTTGCACAAGCAGCAATGCAGGGAATTTTTGTATTTCATCATTAGATAACACTATTGACGGTGATGTGCATTAAGAAATGCAGGTACTTAGTATGTCTTGATAGAGATATTCTCTGAGAATCTGACTGTAGCCTATTAATTAAGTAATTAAAGGTAAATTTTAAGTGATAATAATACTAGTAATTTAAAATATTTTTGGAACCCCAGGCTTGAAGGTCTATAGGGTAACTCCATAAAGTGTATGCAAAATCAGCTTCAGAGTGTGCCCTAGTATTCCTTTTGGCAGGACAGACACCATGTAAAGCCTACCAGACTGACTTGCTTTCCATAACAGGCTTTAGTTCTGCTGGCAGACATCCGTGTGTGACCCTGGAGGTGTGAAACAAGCACCGGGGCACTGCCCTCTTCAGAAACATCACAAAAGTGAACCTGGTAAAATTCTTTCTTACCAGCGCAGGGCTGATGTGGATATGAAGGTGCCCCAGCTGTGTGTGTGCAGAACCCCAGCAGCTCCTTGCTCATGGCCAGGCAGCAGCAGCACAACTCTGGAGATCCTCCCAGCAGGTAGATGATCACACAGTGTTTGGTTAAATGCCCTGAATTCATGAGCACATGTAGAACCCTGCCTAGTACTCGGACACTGGTGTTGCTGAGGAAATTTCCTTTTCCCATTAATTTAGCACATCCCTTTCTCAGCCAGGCTTTTCTCTGTAGTCCTCTATCCTCTGCAGGAGAGGTTTTCACAGCCAGTTGTTCCTGCAGACGTTCTGCTGTTGAATGGCACTTCAAGGAGGCTGTGCCAGAGGGGTAAATCCAAACCACATCCCGCTTACTATCCTCAATGGAAGTTTTGCCTGCACTGGGGCTACAGGACCAGACCGTCAGTTAATCACAGGACTTTTCTTTTGTCTTAAAATACTCTATCTTTTGTACAAGGAGCTTCATTAAAGTAGAAGTCTAAAATCCTGACTTACAATGCCTAGCTAAATCCCATCAATACACCTCTTTTGAAGCATAGGACATTTTAGGTTTGCTTTGTCAAATGACAAAACTGCACTTCCAAATAATATTGGTGCAATTAACCTCCTTTCTTTTACTGCTTTTTCTTGTCCATGGCACTTATATTACAAATATCAAACTGAAGAATAAAAGAAAAATGAAAGTTTTCTTTAAAGTCTAACTACTGTATGGTTTGTTACAAAACCAAACATCAAAAGACTGTTTTCAACAGAAGTTAGTTATCTCCTTTTTCCTTTTCTTTTTTCTTTGCAAAACTAATTTAAAGATTAATACTAGAACTTTAAAAAAGACAAATGCCATATTTAGCTTTTGATATATTTATTTGTTTTAAAGTATGTGATAAACTTGATATATTTCTGTAGTCTGTCCAAAGAAGGTACCAGAAAAGTAATTACGTGGAAGAAAGAAAATGGTATTAACCAAATATTCTTGAAGCTTATTTAAGATATTGATCCAACCAAAGATTTTTATTAATAAAGGGCTTATATTTTGTTAACTCTTGTTTCTGCTGTATTTTGACTTGCAGGAATGTCACTATTTTAAAAATTTGTAACCTTGATTTGTAAATTTGATAGCTTATGACTGCAGGGACAAATCCTGCCTGATCTATTCACACAAGTATTATTCCCGGTAGTACTTACTAGATCAGGCCCACTGACTGCAATAGGACTGTGAGTGGGAATAGATCAAGCAGAATTCTTTCTGTACATCCATGTTCTTCCTCTCATTCCTTGGTACCCAAACGATCCAGAAGAAAGCCAAATGTGAACTACCTATTCTGAAGATAAATCTTTGGGGAACCACCTCAAAGGGGATTTTATCTGTAAATACTTATCCAAAAGTATTCCCGACTTAATACTGACATTCCTGTAAATGGTAGAACTATATCCTCAACACATATTTATCCGAATTGTTCATTATTTGCTGAAATCATGAAATAGTAACAGTTGCTTATACTTTCTTTTGTACAGTAAATCGTTTGAAATAGAATTTTGTATATATAAAACCCCTGTATTACTACTTAGAGAACTATAAAACTTTCATGGAATCATTTTTTAAGAAAAACAAATATATATAAAATGTGGTTTAGTTTGTTGTGGGGTTTTTGTTGTTTGTTTGCTTTTCTTTTTTTTTTTATTTTTTATTTTTTATTTTTTCCCTTTGAATACTTACTTGAAATAAATATGCAAGAGTTTCTCCTGTGGGACAGGTTCTGTACCCAATCCGCCTTGGGCTCTGAGCATGCAACTGAGTACTGTTTGATTTGAGAAATGCAGAAATTCGTGTTGCAGTTCGCTCCAAACTGGACCTATGATACCCTTTCCAGTGCTCTTTGTGTACTTGGACAGCAGAGGCCAGAACTGAGATTTGCAGGTACCAACTACATCATTTACAGACAGCTTCCCCACAACATCCAAGGTAAATCTTGTGTTTGGGCTGCTTTAGATCCCCACTTTGGTATGAAGTGAATCCCACCTAAAATGGGAGAGCACAAAAAGAGGTTTGGCTGCCAGCACTGACCTAAACACTGAATATTAACTGATGGATTTTACCCTGGGAGCTTTAACTTGCTTCTGATTTTAGTCTTAGGCACTTAGCAGGATATAACATGTAAGAACTTTCAGTAAGACATTTGAAATGGGCTTGCAACAAGGAAGAATGCTGTTTGGTTTGCTCATTTCAACTGAAAAATGCATTCATTCTTAAGAATGAAATGATAAAACCGAAGGAATGAAACTCGCGGATTCCTTCGGCTGCATCTTGCTGAATTCGGCTCTGAAGGGAAGTAACTGAGGAAGCAGAAAGGCTCCACTGTGTATGTCACATCTTTAATGCCTTGTGGGACCTGTACAAGTAAAGCTGGGCTCAGGACCTGACCTGCCCTTTCCAATTTTCTCTCCTTCTCCCATTTAAAGTGGCTTCATGCCAATTCTTGCCTTTTAACGGGAAAATATTAGTGCTCTAACTAACAAAATTTAGTTAGAAGTGGGAATTCTGTTCCGAGGTAGTGGATATGAAAACCAGAAGCAGGTAAATCTCTGTCTAGTTGGTAACTGGTTTGGTTTTGTCAGTTCTTGAAGACAAAATAGTAGCTAGGGGCTCATTAGGTATTAGGAAATCATCCTGTCAGCACAATAGGGTGGGTACGAGTCTGAATCTTCTGAATTTCCATGTCATTGTGTTTCTAAGATACTGTCTTACAAATATTTTGCAGTCTTAAATAGCTTAAGGGTGAATAAGTCTCACGTCAAGGCACAGACACAATTTATTCTATTTTTAAACCCTCCATGCTCTCTGGTCCTGAGCTGTTAATGATCTTTTTGGCTGCTGTGATTTCCAATAAGCAATAATAAAATTATATACTTTTCATCTTACCACCTCAGGAGTCTGAACTCTCCTGAAGTTCCATAGATCACTTGAGTGCATTTGTATTTTCCTATGAAGTTTTCAGAGCAAGCAACATTTTTTTCCCCTTTTGCCGCTGAAGAAACTGTATCTTCAAATTTATATGGATTCCATTCAAACTCTGCTTTAGTTCTCTGCACATTTGAGTACTATTTATTCCATGACCAAAGACAATATGCCATTTTTAGTACAGCACAGAAAAAAAAATGTTCTTTTTTTAACCTCCTTTTTTTAGCCTAGCAGGCCTTTTGTGAAGAAGAAACTACTAATGTGGCTTCTTTTTAATTTTAAGCTCCTTCCTTAATAATACCATGCATGCCACCTGAGTCAAGGCCACCTGAAGCCAGAGAAAGTATTTCCTTTGATTCCCATTGACTGCAGCGCACCTTACATGAGACTAAGCATTGCTTCTTGATAAGTTATAATAAGAATTTGTGACACTGGGTACTTTTATAACACAGAGTGTCAGGTAAAGCCAAAATACATTCATTCAGCTGAGCTGTGCAAGCAGCAAGGAAGTTGTGCTACTTTCCATGAGGTAAAAGACTCAGAAAATCAAAGACATGATACAGTCACATGAACTTCATTCCACAAGTTTGAAAGTTTTGAGGTCACAGCTTTCATTTTTCTGTGGGAAAGAAGTCATGCTCAAAGGGGAAACGTATCCATATGGATGCTCCTGAGAAAAAGAAACAAAATATTTAGGGAAATTCTTGTGCTGAAGAAGCTTAACAGTGTAACAAAGTCCATTTTTCAGAGTTAAGTGTGGGTATTGAGCCGCCTTCCTTAGAGCAGAAGAAAAGGTTATTCCTTGGTTTCACTTCTAAATGAAAAAAAGAATAGTCATCTTCTCTAGTTCAAATATAAGAATGGAGGCTAGGAAAAAGGTGCAAATAGGGAAAGTATCATCAGGTCATCAGACGGCTTTTGCTAAGGTTTTTGTTGGTCTTGTGTTCAGCTGGAAGATGGAAGGCTTTGGTCATAGAACGGTTTGGGTTGGAAAGGACCTTAAAGCTCCTCCAGTTCCAACCCCCCACCATGGGCAGGGACACCTTCCTCCAGACCAGGTTGCTCCAAGCCTCCTCCAACCTGGCCCTGAACACTTCCTTTGGAAGGAAACGGCTGAAGAATAAAAACGAGAAGACCTCTCTGACATTAGCGAGGACTTGGTGACTGTGCTGCCTGCTTTAAACCGTCATCGTGGGACAGTGCTAACAAGCATGGAATTCCCGTCTGTCCTGGTAGAAGCATGTAATTGGATGAACAGCTCACATTTCTTAATATGTGAATCTTCAAAAGACATCTGCAGATAAAGAAGGTAGGTAATTACAAGTAGTCAGCCATCAGGTGGGAAAGTACTAAATCTTAGCAGGCTAAAAGTATTCTGAGTCTCCTGCATGACCTCCCAGGTCAGCAGCTCTGCAGTCTGGTGGGTTCTGGGCCACACTCCTAGATCTACTGAGGGATTTTACTCTACTCAGGCACCCTTGGGAGTGGGAGGAAGTTGGGAGCAGGGAAAGAACAGTGGAAGTCCTGAGAGTAAATGAATGTGAATGTCAGTTACATCATCTTCCTGGCTTCAAAGAGGAAAAGAAGTAAAACCGAGACTCAGTTCTGAAATCCTACTAATTCTCTTCCCTTG